GCAGAAGAAAACATTAAAAATTTTAAAACCCACCACTTCAGAAGCATTATGCTTTAGTACTCGGATAGTCTCAACATGGGAAGAAAACATCACTTGGTCAGTGATCTCACTTTGCCACCCAGGGTAGAATGCAGTGGCATAATCATGGGCTCAAGCCATCCTCCCACCTCTGCCCACCAAATAGCTGGGACTACAGGTGTCTGCCACCACGCTTGACTTATTTATTTATTTATTTATTTTTAATTTAATTTAATTTTTTTGGGGGGGGACGGAGTCTCGCTCTGTCGCGCAGGTTGGAGTGCAGTGGCCGGATCGCAGTTCACTGCAAGCTCCGCCTCCCGGGTTTACGCCATTCTCCTGCCTCAGCCTCCCGAGTAGCTGAGGCTACAGGCATCCGCCACCACGCCCGGCTAGTTTTTTGTATTTTTTTTGTAGAGACGGGGTTTCGCCATGTTGCCCAGGCTGGTCTCTAACTCCTAAGCTCAAGTAATCCGCCCACCTTGGCCTCCCACAGTGCTGGGGTTACAGGAGTGAGCCACCGTGCCCAGTGAGCAATTTTATTTTTATATCATCTGTGGACCTCACATTAATCTATTTTTCTCAGTAAAAGAATACTGCAAACAGGGTCCAGCAATGACAGTCACATCCAGTTCCTCAAATTCTATCTTTTTTCTTATTAAATATGTTGAGTAAACTGACCATGGTTTTGTGCATAGATTGATACCAAAGGCCTGACCCTGAAGCCGTCAAAGACTTAGAGGGCTGTAGGGACTTTAGACTTCAAACCCATCATATCCTCTTTCCTATCCCTGGAAAAGCAACGCACAAAGACTTTCTTAAACTCTTCTCAGCATTATTCCAGTGTGTCCACTATCCTTTGAGCTCACTGCCACACCCCTCATCTTTCAAAATCTTGAACCCGGGAGGCAGAGGTTGCAGTGAGTCAAGATTGCGCCGCTGCACTCCAGCCTCATCAACAAGAGCAAACTCCGTCTCCAAAAAAAAATCAGAAACAAGCCATTAGTAAACATTCCTAATGAAGATTATGATGTTAAATGTCATTATTTGCATGCAAAGGTTTCCTCCTCAAGCTAAACCTCAGCATTTTCGGTTTCACTAGATTGAAAGCAGAAGTGAGTCTTCATTACAAGGGCACCTCTTTTCTCTGACTAGTGGGGTTTAAATAGCTTGGTGGCTTTCCAGGCGGTAAGTCCCAGCTAATGGGCTCTAGAGAACCCAGCCTATCAGTTCATTTATGGAGTCCCTTGGCATCCTTGTACTGTGAAGAGCCGTAAGGCCTCAAAGGGTGAAAAAGGTGAGTTGAGAAGGTGTCACAGAGCACGAAGGTGGTCCCCACACAGGTCACAATTATGTAGCTGTGAACAGGCTACATGTTGCATCCTTCATAGCATCTGCCACAAAATAAGGGCTCAACATATTTTCCCTTCAATTTACTTTAAACATCATTACCATTGCCTAAATGAAATATTACTGACATGGATTTTAAAAACTCCACATGTAACTAATGTCTAAAATTGGGTCACATGAAACATAACCTTGAAACTGAGAAGAATTTCCTCTTAGACTTCATGATAATTTACCAACCACTTAATGCACCAGGGGCTGAGGGGAGCAGAGAACCTAATTAATTAATCACGGTGACCTGATAAATGAGGTAACATCACTAAAGCAAGTGGCGCTCCTTTAACCTCAGTTCCATTTCCCTCCCCCAACACCATGTCTCTCCGTTAAGACACATCATTTGATCTGCAGAGTTGAGGTAGGTACTCATTCAAAATGAATAATCAAACTTGCCTCCCAATTCCCGAAATCTACAAGGTCCCCTAGACCTCTAGAAGTGCAATTCTGCTGACAGGAAAATGAAGCAAATTACTCTCATCCAAGGCGATTACCTCCACGAATTCTTAGAATTTATATAGTAGAGTCCAGGTATTAATATAAAAACCGTAATTTCAAAATACTATAATGTTTCAATCAACAAAAGTGGGCAGAAGAAAACATTAAAAATTTTAAAACCCACCACTTCAGAAGCATTATGCTTTAGTACTCGGATAGTCTCAACATGGGAAGAAAACATCACTTAGTCAGTGACTAACTTCTGATAAGTATGTGGAAATGTAAGCCACTCCGCTCGAAAAAATGCACGCAGGGGGAATGACACGTGCGGTGCGGTTACGGTTGTGTCCTGATATCTGAGGTCGTTAAACGACGAGAAGAGCGGCAGTGTCCGCAGCACGCCTTCCTACCTCTCCTGCGCCCGGCCCCGCTTCCGGGACTCCAGTCCACCCGCAGCACCCTGACTGCAGGTGCCAAGTCACAACTGCAAAGAAACTTCCTCTTCTCGAGCGGGGGTGGGACTTGGCCGGGTCCCGAGGCCCCTGGCTGGCGGGCTCGGACGTTAGGAGCAGAACCAGCTCCAGGTCCCGGTCTGTCCGGGCGTCGCTGCCCTCCGAAGCTCAGGCCGGACGCCCCCAGTCCCTGGCCGAGCAAGGCGCCGCGGCCCACCCACCCCGGTACCCGCCGTTCGACCCCGTTGCCCTGCACCTGAGGATGTTGTCAGCATAGGTGAGCAGCAGCTTGGAGGCCTCCAGAAAGGTCTCCGGGGTGTTCTGGCAGAGCTCGGCCACGGCCGGGGACGCCGAGCCTGAGGAGTTGCCCAGCGCCGCCGCCGCCATGCTTGAGCGCCAGCGGCCGCCGCCGCCCCTCGCGCTCCGTGTCCCACACTGAGCAGGCGCTTCAGCGCGCAGCGGCTACCGCAGCCACCGGGAGGGGCGGGGTCGGGGGCCTGGGGCGGGGTCGGGGGCCTGGGGCGGGAGCAGGGCAGCTCGGCGGGGAGCTACTGCTGCCCCTTCGGGAGGGGCGAGGGGCTGTTCGGAGCAACGTGGGGGCACCTCCGCCGGCTGGGGCGAGGTGCTTCGACCGAGGGTTGGGGCCTGGTCGTACAGGTTGGGGAGGGGTTCCGCAGGGAGGGCGGGGCCTGGGCGCCGGGGCTGAGGGGCGTGGGGCTGGAGGAGGGGGTTGTCGAGTCCTTAGGACGGATGAGCTCGGCTGGAGGGGAGGTCGGCTTTAGTCTAGAGGTACCGGGAGAATGGTGCTGGCACGTGCCTCTCAGAAACCCGGATCCCTCTGCGCCCCGGGGCCAGCCTAATCGATCCAGCTATTAAGGTGGAGAAACCGCATGTACCTCTCTCCTTTCCCCACAAATAAAACGACCTTAGCGCCTTCACTTCGCAGATTGTCAGGACGTTCTACATAGATGTGGATGAAAGACCCCAGAAGGAAGGAGCAACAAACGTCAAAAACAAAACCATGGCTATAAACTCTGCTGGGTTTGTTACGTGGATTCTTTTCAGAATTTGGCGAATGACTGAAAATCTAAGTCCCAGCTCAACTAGTATATGATTCCTCTGTAAGGAAGTGTATTTTTAAACCATAGGTTGCAATGTAATAATGGGTTGTGGATTCGGTTTACTGCGTGGTGACCAGCGTAAAACACATGCATAATAATTACGCAATATTATAGAATGTCGGGGGCGGGAAGGGAAGAAAATAAAAATTTGCATCCCACACAGTAAGGGTAAGTATTATTTTGTAACTTGTTTTTTAGGTATATCATGTGATCAAGGTCTTTTATTCCACTTAGAAGATGCATCCCTAACTACTTTAATCCAGTCTCTGCCCCACCATGTCCTTGAAAGTGTACTTTACCACTGGCTTCCTTCTTTGCAGAAATTCCTTTTCAACCTCACCAAGTATTTGTCTTGACTTTATTTCTTAAGATAAGTGATTTGCCTGAATAACTTCTTTTACATTTCTTGATGTTTCATCTGTTTGCTTTTAAGACTTGAAATTTTCTTCCAGAATCTCCGAGCAAGACCCTAAGCTATGCCAATCCACTTCAATGACTATTCGTCTCCCAGATATACGTACGCTTTTAATAAATATGTAGATCTTTGGACCAGCTTCCAAGTATGGTGTGTTCAACAGATAGTAGTATGTTGCTAGCTTCTGTAACTAAAATTTTCAGTGGCTTAACACAAGAGTAATTTCTTTCTGGCTCATATAACAGTTTAATAATGCAGGTGTCATAATGTCAGTGGACCTAGTCTCCTTCCATCCCTTAGAACAGGGGTCAAGAAACATTTTTCTGTAAAGGGCCACATAGTAAGTGTTTTAGGCTTTGTGAGACATAAGGTCTGTCTCAACTATTTAACTCTGCCTCTACAGTTGTAGCTCCACAGACAATACTTGAAAATAAATGGACATGGTTATGTTCTAGTGAAATTTTATTTACAAATCCAGGCAGCCTGCTTGGACAAAAAAAAAAAAAAAAGTCACACCTACTTTTAACCACATAAGCCCAGAAATGACATACAGCATTTTCTCTACCATATCATTGCTAAGAATGAGGCCTCATCAAGATAAAAGAGGGTATTTCAGTAAGGCCAGATTTACAAAAAATAAAAATAAAAATAAAACATAAAAAGATAAAAGGGGAGAGTCTGGGAAATGTAGTCTCCTATAACTACACAATGGATTGGGGGCTTGGGTCTGGGGATATAGCTATCACAAACTTTATTCCTCTTCATTTGGGTTTCTTTTTTCCATTGATACATTTATTTATACTTTACTAATTATATGAGAATAATATATATTATACAGTATTTGTGACTTTTTAAAATGCAACAGAACTTTTTTTATATTTTTCCAAATAAAAATTTAGGGGCTGGACATGGTGGCTCATGCCTATAATCCCAATACTTTGGGAGGCTGAGGTAGGTGAATCGCTTGAGCCCAGGAGTTGGAGACCACCCTGGGCAACATGGCAAGACCCCATCTCTACCAAAAAAAAAAAAAAATAGGAAGATTGTCTATATACAAAACACCAAAGTGGAAATGCTCTGGTATTGAAGCAGAGGTGTCAAGTAAAGGGCAGAAAGCTGCTAGCTCAGGCTTCCCTCTGACAGATAGAATGGTCATAGGGTACTTTTGTGGGGGAACAAAATGACTTGTTTTTCTCTTCATAATAGTTTGTTTCCTCAACTAAAACGCCATCTCATTGTAAGTTATCATTAGTTTTGTCTTCCCTGTTTGATTAAAAGTCTCTTGTGCCACCTGTCTCAGACTGCTTTGCACACAGCAGGTTCTGAATAAAGAGTTGTTGGTTAAGCACTTAATGTAGTCACACAATAGTGAATCCCTATACAAATTCCTGAAAGACTTCAACCCCTCTCCTTGCTAATGGTTTTTATGGAGGTTAACTTTTTAATATCACCAAATAAATCCTGGGAAAAATTTAGAGAGTTCTTTTTTCTGTTTTATTAAAGAATAGCGTTAGCCAGGCGCGGTAGTGCACGCCTGGAGTCCCAGCTACTTGGGAGGCTGAGAGGCAGGGAGGGAGAGGCCCGCAGCCGAAGCCCCTCCCAGAGGAGGGAAGACTCCCGAAGAAGAGAGAGGGACCGGGAAGCATGTAGGCTAAAGGGGTGCCCACAATAAGCGTGGACCCATTTGTCATTTTCCATTTGACCATGAAAGTAGAGAGGCAGGGGAATCGCTTGAACCCAGGAGGCAGAGGTTGCAGTGAGCTGAGATCGCCCCACTGCACTACAGCCTACGCGACAGAGCAGGACTCTCTCTCAAAAAGAAGAAGAAAAAAAAAAAAAAGAACAATGCCATGATATGTCAACTCTAAAAATGATGTTTTTAATAAAGGTGAAATCCTGGAAAAAATATCTTTATTTCGGGACAAATATAAATAAAATAAAATAAAATAAAATAAAAGAACAAGAATTTCAATGCTGATTTAGTACTAGACCATTCTTTGGTTGTTTGAAACAATGATGGGTATAAAAGGTAGGGTAACTTACTCAGCTTTTCTAAAGGAAACGGAAGAATTAGAATATCTCCAACTTGACTGAAGTGGAGGAAGCAGCCAGGAAAAGGAGAGACAAAGTCCCTTATTATAATGGATTCCCTTAATAGCTTTATAAATGGCGGTATTCAAAAGAGATTATAGTTACTCAAGAACTTTAACGGAAGTGTTACTAAAGAGTTATTTGGAAGGACTTAAATTTCAGATGATTTTTTAAAAATGGTGATTTCTATGATTTTATGGACTGTACATTTTTATCACAATATTAATGCTATGGCATTGGTTTTCGCAAAAGTCATTTGGTGAGATATGCACAAAAAGTGCATGTGTACTCTCAAATATAATGATTTGATTTATTCATTCCATAATTCACTTACTCATCATATATTTATGAAGTGACTACTAGTTGCTCAGCACTGTGAAGGAGACAAATATGGTCCCACTTTCATAGAAGTCATAGGTTTAGAGCAGTGGTTGGACAACAGCAGCATCAGCAGGAAACTTGTCAGGAAAACAAATTCTGAAGCTCCATCTTTAAAGGTGGGGCCCAGCAATCTGTGTGGTAACAAGCCCTTCAGGTGATTTTGATACACAGGAAACTTTGAGAACTACTAGTTTAGAGGGAGGGAGATTTCATTGCGGGCTGCAGTTTCAGTGAGGGTGGACAATTTGAACAGAGGCCTTAAATTGAGAGGTTGAGAAGGTGAGAAAGGAGAGGACTTGCTAGCTGTGAGAGACTCCCCACCCTCCTTAAATCATGTACAGTATCCTAGTAATGTTTCCTTCTCAACATCTCCTACATCTCTCCTCGCCATTGCCCTCAGAGCCTCATCGTGTTGCATCCATTCTTAACTTTCTTCCCTGTGTCCATTTCCACATCCTTCCAATCCACCCTGCTCATTTGTGCAACATGATCTTTCTAAAGCAGCCATCTGATCATGTTGTTCTCCTGGTAAAAAGTTTTCTATGGCTCCCTCTACCCACATTCTAAAGTCAAATGGTGTCAGGAACCAGGCTGGTAACTTAAATATTTTAAGTGGCTTTGTTCAAGACAAAGAGGAGTAAGAGAGACTCCGGTGAAGGGAATGAGAGAGTTTACTATGTCCTTTCTAGAGGAGTTTAGAATCAATAAAAGAATGTTGCACTCCAAATTATGCTAGCAGAGGCTAGCATATGCTCTCTGAACTACAGGATTAAATCCAAAGTCCTCGGTATGATACCCCAGGCTTTTGTGACCTGGGCCTGCCTTACTCTCATGCTTTTACTGTTGCTTTGTCCCACACTTCAAATTTGACATGGGCCACATACTTAGCTGTTTGTGGAAGATACCATGACACTTCATTTCTCCAGGCCTTTGTTCTACTCTTCCTGCCAGGATGCCCTTTCCCACCCAATTTACTAGACAAATATTCATTTCCAAGATGCAGTTCAAGGATCATTTCTCTGAAGCCTTTTCTGATTTTACAAGGTAGCACAGACCTCATTGTCCCTTTTGTGTTATAATAGTTCCGCTACAGCACCTGTTTCAATAGTTTGCACTTACTTGTTTCTAATGGGTTGACCATGAACTTTATTAGACCATGAACTACTTGAAAGCAAGAGCCATACCTCTACTCATTTTTGCATTCAAACTTCAAGCATCGATAGGAAGAAAATGAATGGTTGTTGACAATACCAAAAGTACAGAGATGAGAAAAGTTAGGGTCAATCAAGACATGTATAGTATGAAAATCAGTTTGCTGGGTGGAAAGCTCAATAGAGAATGGGAGCCATAACTGGAAAGACAGTTTTGAATCAGATTACAAAGAATTTAAGGCAGACCTAAAAAGTCTTAATAGGAGGGTAGGATAAGCAGAGCCCATTTGAAGATTTTGGTGCAAGAAGACACCATGGGATTGTAGCAGGAAATACGGTACCAAATACGTAAAGCTATAAAATATCATAAAATTTCCCACCCTTTTCCAGATCAAAGGTGATGAGGTAGATACAAAAATGATGGTCTTTTTACTTTTTTGAAAGATTTTAATTTGTCACCTCTTAGCCAAGATGATTTGTGATATTACAAAAGAAATAGCACATTAAAATTGTATGTTTCATATGAGTTCAGCTTCAGAAAAAATATTGTAGGTATTTTCTCACTATTATTTTAAAGACAGCAATGAAAAGAGATCAAGTTTAGGTACTTACTCATCAAGTGTTAGTTTTTTTATAACACATGTGTTTAATTCTTCTTAAAGTAACTCTATTTGTCACTGAATGAGGATCATACTAGAGGTGACTGGTTAGGCCTGCGACGAAGGTCAAACTGGACTTTGCTTAATTATTTTAAACAAAATAGATTTCCAAACTCATTTAAATCCAGGACCAACCTGGAAAAGCTAAGCTTGACTCACATTCTTCTGTAGGGGTAGGAAAGAATGCAGAGGACTCTACTTGGAAACAGTGGCTTCAAGAGGCGTTGCCCAGAAAGAAACATAAATATGACTAGAAGGTCCAGATGAAGATTCTATGGTCAACCATTTTTCTAAAGAAGAGCAAGGACTAAACTCACGGCTGGGATAGCATGTGAAAAACAGATGTTCAATGAATACCATCTTGTCGACTTCTTGCTTTTTTTACGTTTTCATGTTGTATTTTCCCTTTATTGATTTGCAATCCGCTCTGAGCAAACAGTTAATGAATTTTTCAGACACTTAGAAACAAATGTCTCCAGCGTTACAATGGGTGTGATATTTTTAAGTATTGTCTCGAATCCGGTGATAATTTTTTTTTTTAAGTGAAAGAAGTTTATTAGGAAAGTAAAGGAACAAAGAATGACTACTCCATAAGCAGAGCAGCCTGGTGACAACTTTTAAAAAGTAAAAACTTTACTACAAAAACATTTGTTTATTGTAGAAAAGCTTTATTAAATAAAGCTAAGCAAAAATGAGGGAAAGATCACAATCATTATACATCTTGCAGCTCCTTAAAGAATTATTTTTGAAAAAACGGATATATACTGTTTCGTAACTATATCTCCTAACAAATAGTCTCAACATCTCATTAATAAATATTCACCCATAGAGTTATTTTAAACGGCTGCATGGCATTTGGATGTACCACAAGATACACAACAAATTTCCTGATGTTGGCCATTTTGGTTAGTTCTACTTTACTCACAATTACTAATAACGTTCCGAGCTATAGCAATAACTCTGTGACTGCAGTCATTTCCTTAATTCTTTCTTACAATTCCAGTAGAATACGATGGTGTCCCTTCTCCGACAAAAAGGAATATCTGGGCATTATCACTGGCAAAGAAAAATGCCTTTTTGATGGGTGAAAATGCTATCTCATCGCGTTATTTGCAGGTCCTTAATTATCGGCGAGTCACTGAGGTTCCGAGAGAAGAGTCTCTGCTAAGGCAAACAGCGACCCAGCAGCCTCCCAAGGTCTGACCTCCGCCAAGGTGACGCGGCGTAAAGTCAACCGGAGGAAGGGAAGTCGAACGGGATGCGTGCGCGGGAGCGCGCATGAGCGTGCGCGTGCGCGTGCGCTCGAGCGCGTCATCGCCTAGGACAGTGGCGAGTGTGTCTGGAGCTGTAAACGTGTTACAGGTATCGCTCGCTACCCTCCTCCTTCGACCCTCCTTTCCTCCTTTACAGTCAAATCAAGTCGGGGTTGAATTTCGAGAGGGAAGTCCGAGGACTTAGGGCCTGATTTCTTTTTCTGTCGCCATGCTTCTTCAGTTGTGTACATGTGTGGTGGTGACTGAGAGGCAGTACAGGGAGTGACTACGCCCTATTACTCCCGCCCCTGGCCTTTGTAGTACCCTTGAAGTGATCCACCAGTCCTAACCCCTCCTTCCACAGATGATTCAATTGGAGAAGTTTAGAGGGGTGGAAAGACTCGCCCCCTTCCCCCAGTCGCAAGCTTGGACACAGAGTCTGTTGCCAACCCACGTATCCAGACGCTCAGTCTAGGGCTCTTGGCCCTGGGTGGCGTTTTGAAAAGGCTCGTTATCCTTAATTATTGAAGATTGATAAAGCCCACTTACTTAAGATAATATGCCCTGAAATGTGTTTTCTGTGCCACTGACACCAGAAATGCTATTTAGAAGAAGTTATCAGTAATCCTGGCAAAGGATGCTTCCTGCAACTCATATCAGGCTGGAGGTGCCTTTATATTTTTCATTGAATTACTGTTTTGGTGAATCGAATGAATCATCAATTCATTTATTTGTCTTCAAATGTCTGAGGGCACTTACAGTCTAGAAAAGGAGATAAGTTTAAACAGGTAGTTTGATGTTAAGGTATAATTTGAAATTATGTAACATTTTCCCTGTGTTCGTTAGCAGCTCATATCAAGCACCCAAAGGAACACCTTGGATGTCTTTCTTTAGGCCCTTAAGCTATATAAAAGAATACCTCCTAGGTGTGTTGTGGTCTTTTACAGGAATGTGTTTCTGATCATCTGAATCTCAATCATGTCCAATTGCCTGCAAAATTTCCTGAAAATTACAAGCACTCGTCTTCTGTGTTCAAGATTATGCCAACAGGTAACAAGAAGTAAAAGGAAGTTTTTCGGAACTGAGCCAATATCCAGACTGCATAGGCGAGTTGTCATTACCGGTATTGGCTTAGTGACTCCTCTTGGTGTTGGAACTCACTTGGTTTGGGATCGTCTTATCGCAGGAAAGAGTGGAATTGTTTCACTGGTTGGTGAAGAGTATAAGAGTATCCCTTGCAGTGTTGCTGCTTATGTGCCAAGAGGCAGTGATGAAGGTCAGTTCAATGAACAAAACTTTGTGTCCAAATCAGATATCAAGTCCATGTCTTCTCCCACCATCATGGCCATTGGGGCTGCAGAATTAGCCTTGAAGGATTCTGGCTGGCATCCTCAGTCAGAAGCTGATCAAGTGGCTACTGGTGTTGCAATTGGCATGGGAATGATTCCTCTTGAAGTTGTTTCTGAAACTGCTTTGAATTTTCAGACAAAAGGTTACAATAGAGTTAGCCCATTTTTTGTCCCTAAGATTCTGATCAATATGGCAGCAGGCCAGGTCAGCATTCGATATAAACTCAAGGGCCCAAATCATGCGGTATCCACAGCCTGTACCACAGGAGCTCATGCTGTGGGAGACTCTTTTAGATTTATAGCCCGTGGTGATGCTGATGTGATGGTGGCTGGAGGTACAGATTCTTGTATTAGCCCTTTATCTCTTGCTGGGTTTTCCAGAGCCCGGGCTCTGAGCACAAACTCAGATCCCAAGTTGGCCTGTCGACCATTTCATCCAAAGAGGGATGGTTTTGTAATGGGAGAAGGTGCAGCTGTGCTGGTGCTGGAAGAATATGAACATGCTGTTCAAAGAAGAGCCCGGATCTATGCAGAAGTTTTGGGCTATGGACTCTCAGGTGATGCTGGTCACATAACTGCCCCTGATCCTGAAGGAGAAGGTGCCTTAAGGTAAAAATGGGTTATTTCCTTCAAAATATTTCTCCAAATAAGACACTTTCTTGGGAGTCCCAAATTAGGGAAAATTGTAGTGTCTGGCCTTGGTGTACCGAATCTCTATTGTTTTAATTTTTAGACTAAACAAGATTATTTAATTCTTTGCTTAAGATATTTGAAGTATTTCAAAGCATTTGAACATCCTTACAAAATTGCATTTGAGTTAAAACCAATGGAGTTGCGAAAAAGACCACGTGTGCCTTTGCCAACTTTTCACGCCTCCATTTGTGCTTAAGCATCAGTGTGCTCCCTCACAAAGTCCTCTTCTTTGACCCTTCATCAGACTTGGAAAGTAAAGTCAACCCTTCTAGATGTGTCTGGTCTTTGCTCCATTTCAGCAGGATTCTGTTCTTTTCAAATCAGCACTTCTCAAACTATAATCACCTAGGGATCTTATTTAAAATGCTAATTCTGATTCTGTAGGTCTCAGGTGGTGCTTGAGATTCTGTTTTGTTTTGTTTTTTTAAAGACAGGGTCTCTCTTTATTGCTTATGCTAGTCTTATCTCACTGCAGTCTCTAACTCCTGGGCTCAAGCAATCCTGTCACCTCAGCTTCCTGAGTAGCTGGGACTACAGGAATGCACCACTGAGACCAGTTTTTTTTTTTTTGTAGAGATGGGGTTTCACTTTATTTCCCAGACTGGGAGATTCTGTAGTTCTAACAGGTGATGGTGATACTGCTGGTTTAAGGACTACATTTAAGTTAACTGTTATAGATTAGTGCTTTTAAAATGAAAAAAAAAAAAAGTCCCTGATAATGTGTTAATAGATAGCTAATAGCTATTAAATCATACTATGTTTTACTTAGTTAAATTAGCCAGAGTTAGCAACCTTTTCTGTAATGGGAAAAATATAGTAAATATTTTTGGCTTTGTGGGCCATGGAGTCTGTCGCAACTAATCCATCTGCCATTGTCATGTGGAAGCAGCCGTAGACAGTATGTAAATGAGTGGGCATGAATGTGTTCCAGTGAAAACTATTTACAAAAATAGGCATCTAGCCAGGGCCATAGTTTACCTACCCCTAAATTATATGTTTGAATTTTTATTTTGTTTTTGTTTGATTGTTTTTCTTTTTTCTTTTTTTTTTTTTAATAGAGTTGGGGTCTTGCTGTGTTGCCAGAGCCAGAGCTGGTCTCAAACTCCTGGCCTCAAGCAGTCCTGCCTTGGCCTCCCAAAGTGCTGGGATTACAGGCGTGAGCTACCATGCCTGGCCTACTTTTGAATTTTAGTGAGTAGTTGCTGGTGCTAAAAATGTCAAGCATAGTAACAAAATAGATGAAGAAATGGTTATGTTCACAGGAAACCTTTCAGCGTACTTCAAATTATACCCTGAGCTGGCTGTTAAGAAATATATATACACACAAACACACATACGTACGTGTATATTTCTCTTAGGAACTAAAGGAAGATGACATCCAAAACGTTTTCAGAGGTTCTTTCAGATATATTTTTTTACTCTTAAGTTTGTTTGGCTTAGATTGCCTTTGTAATTTTTTGTTTAGAATTCTTATGGCCTAAATAAAGAGGATTTTGAAAGGTTATTTGAAACAATGGAACAGTAGATTATTGGGAAGTATGCCAAGTTTTAAATTTAAATGTGAAAAACATCATAATTACAATTCTCATAAAAAATTGCCACACTCCAAAAATCTCTGGAAGAAAAATTATTCTAGTCTTGAGTCAAGATGATATTTTTTCCCCAAGGAAAAATGCCAATGCAAATAAATGAAATTACATTTTATTTGAGATTATACAATCTTGCATTAGCTTGTGTGTTTAACTCTTGGTGATGAACCAGTCCAAGGTAGTGAGTGTGACTCATTATTCCCGTAGAGATGACATCCTAACTCACATGGTAATCCAAGATAGCATTCCATTACTAGAATAAGAGATTCTTTTTATCCAGTGTACTTGGATACCTACATTTGTTTCACATAAGCCATACAGATGAAGAGACTTTTGTTAAAATTAAACTTGGTCCTGATGTCTTTTCTTGTTTTATTAGGTGTATGGCTGCTGCTTTAAAAGATGCAGGTGTACAGCCTGAAGAGATATCCTATATAAATGCACATGCTACTTCCACACCATTGGGAGATGCTGCTGAAAACAAGGCAATCAAACATCTCTTCAAAGACCATGCATATGCCCTTGCAGTTTCCTCAACTAAGGGAGCAACAGGACATCTGCTGGGAGCTGCAGGGGCGGCCGAGGCAGCTTTTACCACATTAGCTTGTTATTATCAAAAACTACCACCTACTTTAAACCTGGATTGTACAGAACCAGAATTTGATCTCAACTATGTTCCACTAAAGGCACAGGAATGGAAAACTGAGAAAAGATTTATTGGCCTCACCAATTCCTTTGGTTTTGGTGGTACTAATGCAACACTTTGTATTGCTGGAATGTAGAACAAATCATTTGTAATTAAATATGGATTTTTAAATGTTATATGTGAAGAAATTATATATTTATACATTGATACCCAGATATCCTTTATGTTAGGGTTTCTCAACCTTGGCACTATTAATATTTGGGTAAGATGATTCTTCGTTGGGAAAAGGGGGATTGTACTGTACATTGTTGGGTGTTTAACGCCATCCTGATCTCTTAATCTATTCCAATAGCACTCTCTTCCCCAGTTGTGACAACCAAAAGTGTTTCCAGATATTGCCAAATGTTTTCTGGGGGACAAAATAACCGCCATACCCCACCGCCTATGAGAACCATGAATCTATATTTTCCTAATACTTTAGGTCAAACAATTTTCTATAACATTTGAGCTGCTCCTGTCCCTTTCAACTCCTCTTTGCTAGGCAGGGTTGCTATACTGTAGAACTCCAGGCATACCATTTCCGTACAATACATAGGAAGGAATATAACAAAGTTTGCATCAGCATTCTTTGAGTAAAACTGTCAGCCAGTAATGATCTATTTACTCCTTAAACACCTAGCCCTCTTTTCTTCATATTATTCATACTGTAATTCAGTATAATGAAATTTCTCTAAACTCCCAAGCCATCAGTTCTCTGAAAGAAGAAACTGAAATTGATTTGACATTTCTTATTCTTTTTGTCTTTATGTTGGCACCTAGTGATTAACAGAGATAAAAAATCTTTGGGACGTGGAGCAGAAATTGTTCGAGACTCGGGCCACGTCCCCTTGGCTCTCCTGTAACTTTTTTGAAGCTTTGCTAGTTTCCTATGTTTTCCCAACATCCTACTACATGTGTTGGTGGTCCCTCTACCTCTCTGCCTTGTTTTCTCTAAAGCCAAGGGATCTTGTTCATCCCCAGCAGCCTGGAAGTGTTGGTAGGGGGAAGGGAACATATTCCCCAGAGGCAATACTCAACCAGTGAGGGATGAGGACAGTTGGTGGCTAAGTGCCTCAGCCTCCTTTCAGAAGGGTATCTGTGGTTCTCCACAGTTCTTCCCAGGGTTCCCAGTGAAACAGAGCTTTAGTTACCCACAATATTAGCTAGCTCTAACACTCGTTAACTTGCTTTTATTTTCCCTTTCCCATCCTCCCTGATTTTTAATCTTGTTCCCACGAATCACCTCCCAAACAAACCGCTTTTTCTCAGGTTCTGCTTTCTGGGCAACTCCAACTAAGGACATTTATCTTGTAGTAGGGGTTTATATATCAGTGGTATAGAGTGAATAGGGGATAAACAGGATGTGTGTATTTTTGCTGAAATGAATAGAGTTTCCCACATTGCAATAGACTGGACACATTGCCTACCCACTGACTTTGACTTTAGTACTTTATCCCCGTTATGCCAAAGGCTCCAGCTGTGTGTTCATAGAACTATAATCGGTTTTAATTTTCATGAGCACACATTTATTCATTCAACTGAAGTCTGTTGGGTGCTAACATAGACCTGACTTTGTACTGGTCACCAGTGATGAAGAGAGTATGTCAGAGAAGGTTTCCTAAAGGAAACTGAGGCTGTAAGGGTGAAGAGGTCTTAGCCAGGTTGAGGGAGAAGATAGAGAAGGAAGCGTGTTCCAGTCAGAGAATTCAATGTGGGAAGGTTTAGAAGTCACAACATTTGTACTAAACATAGGTACGTATACCCTGAGATGGATTAGGAAATAATGGCAGAAAATCTGGAAAGGCAGGTCACAAATAACTACAAGTTTTGTTCAAGGCAGTGAGGGTAATCGGAAGCCATTTAAGGTTTGGGATGGTGTGATGGCTTTGTAATGTGTCGGTTTGGCTAGGCTGACCTACATTTCACAGCATTCCTTTTATTGTATGTTCTTGGTTAGGGTGGGCCGTAAGAAATTCTTGTGGGAGATTTGGAGGATGGAAGTGAAGCAGCAGCTATTTTGTAGCTCATGCATGTTACTTATCTGTTAGCTCATGTTGGTGTGAGACTGGCTGAGCCTTCAACTGCTTCACCTTTCCCTGGATCCTCTGTCAGTTTCCCTGACTCCTGGACCAGGTGTGTGTTTAGTTCCATGATAATGAAGGACCTGACCTTCTGCCTCATACCACCAAAGTCAGAGGCCATGAGAACTGACAGATTTCTTTCTGTCACTTTGTGGATTCCATCTTGTTACTGGAATTTACATCCATCTTCCCTTCCCAACAGCCTGCCCTGTGGACTTCAAACTCCATCATCGGAAGATAACAGGTGAACATAACTGCATTACAGAAACTTTAACCTGTTCTCACAATTGTGTGGTTACACAAACTGTCAAATTCCTGTAACAGATATCTATATCTGTCTTAGTGGTTCTATTTCTCTGAGTCAACACTGACTGATACATGTGAAGAAGAAGGGGTTATTGGGGCTGACATAATCATATTTTCTTTTAGAAACATCAGCCTGGCTGCAGAGTGAAGAACAGCTGGGAAGGAAGCTTTATTCCCATAAGGGAATACAGTCAGACGGTGTTGCAAAATGTAGGTAAGAAAAGATGGTGGCCTGGATAAAGAAGAATATTTTGACCCAAGTTTCTTCCAAAATTGAAAATCATGTGTTTTTAAAAAATCAACTTTACCAGGGCATAATTTATATATAAAATACATTTATATGCATTTTAAGTATATAGGTCAATTAATTTTGATAGAAGTATGCACACACATGGAACCACCACCTCAGTCAAAGAACATTTCTGATACCCCAAAATTCTTTTTGCCCCTTTGTAGTCAGTGCCCCCAGCTCCAGAAAATCACTGAAGAACTTTCTGTTACTATAGGTAAGATGTACTTTTCTAGAATTTTAAATAAGCGGAGTCATACAGAATATAACCTTTCGTGCCTGCCTTCTTATAATATTTTTGAGGTTTATCCATGTTATTGTGTCAGTAATTCATTTCTCTTTTATTGCTGAATTTTAAAAATTCTTTTTTTTTTTTTTTTGAGATGAAGTTTCGCTCTGTTGCCCAGGCTGGAGTGCAATGGCGCGATCTCAGCGCACTGCAACCTCTGTCTCCCGGGTTCAAGCAGTTCTCTTGCCTTAGCCGCCTGAGTAGCTGGGATTACAGGCACCTGCCACCGCGCCCGGATAATTTTTGTATGTTTAGTAGAGACGGGATTTCACCAATTTGACCAGGCTGGTTGCAAACTCCTGACTTCAGGTGATCCACCTGCCTCAGCCTCCCAAAGTGCTGGGATTACAGATGTGAGCCACCACGCCTGGCCCTAAAAATTCTTTAATCAGTATAGATACCCTTGACTTTTACTCTTTCCTTAATCCCTACTTAGCTTATTTTTTTTAACTTTTTACCGTCACTGTTTTTTTTAAAAAAGGGTATGTATTGCCTTTTGAACAGAAAAAAGACAGGATTTTAAAAAAATTATAGAACCAAGATAGTTTCTAAAGCAAAGAATTCTTCTGCCCCAAATCACAAATGTACAAGGGTTTAACAAAGGACCTACACACACACGTGTACACACACTTTTATAAATATTATTTGGATTACCAGAAATACTGCTAGAAATTTTAGAATTTCCTGTGATTTAGTGCCATGAGTATATGATGAGTTTTGGATCCAAATATCCTAACCTTATCCCCAGGGTCTTTATATTTATGGAAGAAATAAAACTTCAGATAACAATAATAATAGTTGATTCATATGTTTGTTCAGGTCTTCAGAAGCAGACATCAAAACAGAAATTTCTGTGCAAGAAACTTGTTGTGAAGGATAGAGGGTGAGAGCAGGAGAAGGCAGAGAGATCTCTCCTTCCCACAACTAGGAAGGAGAGGGGCACAGGAATGAAAGGATTGGGTAGGAAGGGTGTCAATCTGAAGTGCCATTCTAATAAAGTTTTGGCCAGGCCGATGGGCAGTTTGCAGTCAAAATCTCTTGTTAAAGGAGTTCCACATCTCTCCAGAATGGTCCTGCATGAGGACTCATACTACGCGTGGTCATTGGCTGTGAGCTGCCCAGGCATAGCAGGAGATCTGAACTGTCCATTTTTCATGACCATTATAATCTACCCCTTGCACCACAGAGATCTGTTTCTCCAAGCAGGTTCATGGGACAGCTCCTTTATGGTTCCTGTGGGCCTCTCTTTCTGAGGAAAAATGTAGATGAGGGTGGTTAGTAGGATAAATAATAGCCTCTGAGGCTGCAGTTGGTCTCAGGTCCACAAATGCTATTCCTCCTTTCTCTAACCCACTATTCATTCTAAATTCCCCTTGCCCTCAGCTATCGTTTCTTTAGGCCTTGGTGGCTGGGTAGTATAACCCAAACCTTCAGTCCTCAGGAATGTAAGCCCTTGGCAATCATACCATTCCCTCTTCAGACAGTGGCAGCTGCGTGTATCATAGGGCACTGGGATCAGGAGGTAAGGAAATGCCAAGATACCCATGTAGATCATCTAGCTTCCACATATATTCTCCCTGTCCTAATTGTGTGAACACAACACTACCTTCTCTAGCGGATTAGGGTCAACTATCACAGTTAGTATGTTGACTTCATGGTTCCTGGGCACAAGAACTCCAAAGTGTCCTAGTGGCATCTACATCCTGTTGTTCAGGGTAATACTTGCGTCTCCTGGCAAGAGTGCATATCCTTTGGAGACCAGGACTCCCCACTTAAATTATTTAGTTAGCTAAATAAAATCTTCTCTAGTTGCAGTAATACATCTCTGCAATGCCAAGAATTGCAAAATAGGAAGTATGAAGTTCCTTATTGTGATTGAATCACTGGAAATGACAGTAAGTGGGGCCATTCATGTTTTCCAACTCCCTTTGTTTCTAAACCTACATGTTCTTCTTATTACAGACTTAGCCCCATATAAAAGTTTTTGATGTAAGCATGTGCTGCATCTTGAGGATGGCACCACTTCCAGTCAGAGTTATCACTGAGTTGGTGATTCAGGTGTGCATTTAGAAGCCAGTTCTAGCTTCTTTGAGTCTGGCTTCTTCTGGATGACGTACTGTATGAAACAAACTATGGAACCGTGGTCATAGGGCCATCTTACTTGCTGTGCAA